GTTATCCGTTCAGTACCCAGCGTTATCTTTGGCCGACATCTTACTTATCTGCACGCGTTATTATTATTTTCATCAAATCAGAGGCTTCCTTTCCATATAATGCGCATTAAAACATTCCGGGTGTCTTTATCCAGGCAAGCATTTTATGTATGTTTACCTTGTTACCCCAGCTTTGTTCCTGTTATATTTCCTGGTCCATTTGTCAAACTCTTCTAACTGATTTGTGGTTACTTAAATTTCCCGTCTCTTTGCAACGAACTCACTAGACTTGGGTCGTTGTGAAAATGGCGAATGAAACTGCTTAAATACCTCCAAGTTTGATTGCGCACCAGTTGCGATGCCTTTATCTTAACCACTAGTAACCATGCATGGAATTCGAGTAGATCCTTATCACCAATTTAATCAAACTGATTCCCGTTTTGTGGAGGCCTGACACACAAAAACTGGAGAGATCTTCTACACGGCGGAGTAGAAGAGCCAAATGAGGTCTAGACAGTGGGAAGTTCAAACAATGCATGTAGGACGGTTCTGAATTCAATACTACTGATGAAGCCAAAGCGCCTGGTCGCACTCTTCGACGGGGGTGGGGGTTAAACACAACAGTTTATGATGTTTATAAAGTCAAATCATAAAATGCCATACAGAAAAATCCTACTGTCTCACGTAGATGTAAAATGAAATAATTTCAGGATCGTCCCAATTGATACCGACCGTTGATTGCGGTCTGCTTCCGATTAGGGGAACCCAGACTGTGGGTACACAGTTCAGAACAAATAAAAAAATGGATGATTGCTGATTGGATGACTGTAAAGAACAAATAAATTTTATTGGTACCTGCCGTCGGTTTCTAATAAATCCCTAACAGAATAAGAGCTTGTGTTGAAGCACCGAAGATGAAACGGCAACTGGATCAAAGATATTCTCTACATCCGCCGCTTAAAAAGGGGATAAGTTCATCTGTCGTGGATTGAATTCCTGCTCTACTTGTAAACATCTGGTCGGAAGAAAATTCCCGTACTTCTGAAGGTAAATCAATAATCCGTTTCGATTTATAAAAGGAGATCAAACAAAGTCTTTGCAAACACAATGGACTGTTTGATTCCAGTTGTCCTAAAGGCGATCCCCTACCAAGGTGGTGGTGGAGCAATGATTTAGTCACTGTCACCGGCGTGCTTTGAACCCTATGGTCCGAAATTCGAGCCCCACCACGGCCAACCAACTTTAGTGGTAGATAGCTTTGCTGTCGCCCAGTTCTATACCACACCTGACCTGACGGGGCCTTATGTGGTTCGTCATACCAAGTCCCGGGGTTCATATTTCTGGTTATCATTACTCAACAGTAGATCTTTGTAACTATGGTATATCATCCTGTCTGCTGTCCATTACACACCAGTATGCAATAGCAAGACTCTAACACTGTGGAGAATGAAACATATTCGGAGACAAGAGGTCGGATCACGAGCAGCCTTATTTTTACGTGGCTCAAGTGCGTTTAAGTTACGTCATACAAATCGCTGATAAATAATCAACTGCAATATTGCCGCACCTACCAATGAACTGTTTGACGTAGCTGGTTTTATGTTTCCTCGTAAACAAAAGGGACGCCTCAGAAATGCACGAATCATTCGACGGTCAACGCACCCAAACATTTCTAATCGAATTATTTCTATCGTTTTACCTTTCAGGACGAAGCCATCAACCCCAGCGATCACACAATGGTAAGAAATAATAACAACTCAGCTTATTTGTTCTCTAATAAAGGACGAGATCGATAAAACTATTGACGAATTTAAGGTATTCGGATTCTATTTTATCCGTGTTACACCAACCGGTTACAGAAAGCCTCCGAAGCCGATATAAAACAGACAAACAAACTGACCGAAGAGCTCACAGAGATACATTTGAATCGGCAGAAAGAGGCAAGTCTCTCTCACACGAGCTGATTCACCCTCGGTGAAGTTGGAACAAACATTTCAGTCCACGAGCAAAGGAGAATTGAATGTGTCGTTGAAATCAGTGCTCGAAAGTGTTCAAGATAAACCGGTGCCGAAGAGTAAAACTTCACGCAAATTGCCGTCTATGGAAAGCGCTCAGGTGGGCGGTTATGTGGAAAAAGGTGTGTTTCCAATTTGTTCTCTGTAGTTATTAAAGTCTACATTTCGTAAAACCGTATGCAAGTAGTTCACATACTTATTTCTATTGATACTTACTTGAGTAGAGAATTGGGATAAGTGCTCTTAGTTTTGACTGACCGACTCTAGGACCTCATTTTTGCGCGTACTCCTCCCTTCATCATGTCAGATCTCATCAGTAGAGAATGACCAATGGTCAATCCGAACTTGAGAGGCTTAGTACGGAGGACACGTGTGCTAACCAGACCACACTCGAACAGTGTATCTATATACGCAAGGAATGCACGACCTGGTGAGAGGCTTGCGACTGAAAATGATGGGTGATGTGGTCCGCTTTTCCTGATAACTTCCAAGTAGATCAACTCCTTCATCATTTGCGGTGATAGTAGAACCCTGTCGAGAAATCCTGCATCAGCGAGTTGAAAAGTTTGATAATTCCAAACTCAGTAAAGAGGAGCAAGTTGTGGAGATCTAGTCCGGATAGCCAAAGTCGATTACGCTTCAACTCGATCACCCCTCATTCCCGGGTTCGAATCCCACTTGATTTGGTAGGCATGTCATGGTGATCACTATTAATAAGGAGTTAGGGATTGTCAATTATAAATAAGGCTGATGACTCTTTATAACTGACACACAGATGCAAGAATAAAAATTACACTCCAACAATACTAGAAATGAAAATGAAACAAACGTAAAATATTGCACTGACTATTGTGATAAATTCTTCGCAGATAACAAATCACTGGATGAGACTATTGTGTCGCAGTCGACCAACACCAATGTACAAGCTCAATTGAAGCCAAGAAGACCAACCAGAGTACAGGCAAGTTTATTAAACTTCGTTTGTATGTGGCCAGTTGTGATTCGCTTTTCGTCAACCAAGCTGCAACTGCACTGTATTGCCCAACTCAGTGATTAAATACCAAAGTAAAGCTAATTCTCCCACTTTGGAATTTCAAACTAATGCACTGACCTATATACGTAAGTCGATGGGCTTTTGGTGGCACATTGTTTTCAAAACCCAAATGAAGAGTACCATTCGGTCGTTTGTTCGATTAGTTATTTAAATTTATTACACATTGTGGAATCAAGAGGACCATGTGCGGAGTGTGTAGTCTATTCTACAATATACTATACGTTATCGGACTGCTGAATAGAAGCAAAACTTGTGGATTGCACTCTGCTACTGAAGGCTTGATGTGAAATACTTCAATTTAATATCACACTCTTCCAATCGACAGACTTCGTAGTCAGTACTACCGTGAAGAACGTCCAAACTAAAATGAAAACTAATTTTGCAAAATAAATTCCCACTATATATTTCCTTCTTCCCAAATTTTATACTGTACAGTGTTTTTGTACCACTTGAGATATCGGGGGGTTCTGTTGTCTGAAGCGTTGATCGCTGCAAAAACTAGTCCAGATTCAACAACTAAAAACGGTAACAAGGACAATACTTGAAATTTTTTTCACAGTCCCTATAGAGAATCGGATTATGTAATATTTGGCAGTCACATTTCACCATATCGATTCATCGCCAAGGGTAAATTGCACACATTCAAGAATATAAAGCGCCATCAGAAATAGCTCTGAAATCCTGCTTTAAAAATCTTTTTGGATGTAAACTGAATACCCCCAACTTGATTCAGCATACATTATAGCAATAAACTGGAAATTGTTTGCTTCCTTTGAGCACAAATTTCTTGCTGGTGGTTTAACAATTCTGAGTGGGGGACATTTACTTTTTTCAGATGTTTGTTTCACATATTTATCATTGGTAAGCATTTATGTGTCAAGAATAAATAAATGTGTGGACAAAACTCATTCGTGTGGTTCGAACCCGAGCACATGGGCTTCAACGCACCGATTCCTTATTTCACGCATCTTCTCTAAAAGATGTGAAATTCAATAACAAAGGCAGCAAAAAAATATAGGGAAACAGTACACTCAATGATAGCTGATGAATTTGATCACAAATTTGAAAACCACATTTGGGGGAACAGCGAGCATCTTAAGCCTGAAAGCATGAGAAAGGTTTACGAACCATATTGTAAAGATTCTCTTCAAGGCTATTCCAGGACAGGTATTTAAACGTGTCAGTTTTGGGAAGGCTGTGGCTGTTAATGACGAGTTTAGGGTGGTGGTAACCAAGTGGTTAGGTCACCAAGTTATGACCTATAAGTCCCGCGATCGAACCGCTCCATCACCTATCTTCCCAGGCTGCCTTTGTATGGCTGCGGCCCCCCTCCTGAATGTTGACTGTACATTTATATTTATATTTATATGTAATAAATTAAAAAGGGAAGTAAAAAGACAGAACGACGAAAATAGTGGGATAACCGGCACTGGATTTAAGACTAAAGGGAAAATCAGCACATTTCGAAATCTTAAGCGTAAGGGATGAGAGCAGAGACCAACTAAATATGTAGTTTAGACTGTATTGAATTTGTTAGAAAGACACCTTTATTGAAGGGGCACGTAACCAACACAACGTCAACACACTTGCAGGCAACGAATAACAGGTTGCCTATGTACGGGAAAAAATTGGTACCCTGAAAATCACTAGAGTTAACCTTGGAGGATGAATTTTTACCATTGCATGAGATATATTTCGTCCTGAAAGAGAATAAGTTTAGACGAACATTTGGAACATCAGATCCCAATCCGTGAACAACAGCATTCCAATAAAACTTGCAATAAAATGCTGATTATCCTAACACTCTCTATTTTAGGTGTGTGTAGTTTACAGGGCCGTATGGATTCGAATTTTGAAGGGGCAATGGCAGAGCAATGTTTTTATACAAAAGTTAAGCAGATCAGTAAGACTGACACCATGCTACGTAAAGATTCGTTCTACTGAACTTTTCAATGAAAACTTCTCTTATTGCCCAATTGCAGATCCGTGAAGATGGAGCAGAAACCGACTCTTCGGTACTAACAACGAGGCGATCGCTTCCTAAAAGTCCAACCACTTTCAGAACTTTCCGACCGAGCTCTGGCAAGATCACCGTGGACAGACGAAGCGTAACACATTCACGACTATCTCAAGTACAAGAGCATCGAGCAGCCGGTATTTCAGCTTGCGATATAGAACAGGTCAGTTTATCGGGCATATGATGCAACTGACGCGATTTTACTGGAACTGAGTCCGGTTTGTTTCGAACCCGATGAGAGTTAACGATCAAACTAGCAGTTACTCATGAGTAGCATTACTGGACATTACTGGACTTCCAGTTTCCCAGTTCATTCACTCACTACTCGGTATTTAGTTTACTGGGGAAACCGATAAGATATCTTTGGTGGTAGGCAGCTCTGCTTTCGTCCGGTTCAATACCACGCCTAACCTATTGAGGCTTTATGTGGTTCGCCACTCCAAGTCCCGGGGCTTACGTTGCCGGTTTCCACCACTGAGCAGCAGGTCCTAGTGACTATGGGGTTCGCCCCGTCCACTGTTCTTCACACTTAGGTGTGTAAAAAACTATCTAATGTAGTTGTATACCAAGCAGTCGTCTGTGTGTGTCTGGTTGGACCGCGTACCCTGATGAGATTTAGGTTGTTAACCGGGTGAGTGGTCACTGCTTAAACTTTGGACAACAGTGTGAACAATAACAAAAGCAGCTTACTAATTGGTTTTCAGTTATCTAAAGGATCCAAGTTGCATACTCATACGTTCGATATTAGTTTATCACTTTTAGTAGGCCACAGTAGAAAATACACTATCCTCAGCTCACCCAGTCGACCATACCCTTGGAAGCACTAGCCTCGAGTTTCCGTTTTATTAGAGCTCATCAGTGGTGCACATCCACCTTCTCGTTCGGGCTTGGAACGCCGGACCTATCGCATGGAAGGCGTGCGTGCTTCCACTGTGCTCACATCAGAGCAGAGCCGAAATGACAATTTATGTTTGTTCAGGTGTCGTCTTCATTGATAGTCAGTCAGTTCATTTTGGCCCGACAGCAACGAACGGGCATACCGTTGACTATCTGTTAAATTCAATCAAAACCTCCCCACCAGCTCAGGACTTCTATGCAGGTTACGGACTTATCAAAAACCTACTAGGCTCGATTGGTAATTCTCATTCAGCGGGAGTTCCAAGACCGGAATGGACGGTGGATAGGCACTACTGACGAGCTCTAATAGTAAGTCAAGTTTAGTACTTCTGGGTGTATTGCTGGCTGAATGAAATAAGGATGGTATGTAAATTTGAATTCCATAAATAATCGGTTCAAACCACTAAATGAGATTCATTGCTTACTAGCGACACGTTATTCGCAAATTCGCTCACTTAGCAATTTGGATCCAGTGTCTCTCTCTTTGTATCATTTTCCCATAAACACTAAATATGCAGAAATAAAATATTGATTACCAACCACTGCACATTATTGTTCGTTTCTTTGCTACTATTCATCATTGTTTGCTTTATCATACAGTTGTCTTGGAATAATTTACGAAATTTGGACCGAGTGGATGAACGCATTCAACAGGAGTTTTTCGCTTTTCAATCGACTACAGATGAAAATGATGCACCTAGTTTCTCTGGCACAGAAGCCTTACGAAAACGTAAATGGTCTGAATCACCAGCCAGAAAAAATCAAGATACATCTGTGGAAGGAATCAGCCGACCAGATACACCGGGAGAAGAGAAAGATTCGACGGCCCTTGAGGTTTGTGAATGCTAAGACGTCTGGTCTAAATTTTGTGGAGATAATGAACTATTTTTGGAGGTGTTCTAGTCCTCAAACATGCTGTTTTGCTTTATTGTGTCCTGTGTCATGTGGTGAGGCTGCAAAAGAAGCCATCTCTTCTATTCCCGAGAAAGGTTCTGTGGTGCTATATCTAGACTACCTTTTGGTGCATGAGAGCCCAAGTAATGTTTTTGCTCATCTGAGGAGAGAGACAAAATTCTGCTTCGACTGAATGTATCCATTTTTACGTCTTCTTAGCGTGTCTTGCATTTCTTGAAATGTTTGGTTTTTCAAATCGTTCGTCATGTTTGTGTGAATGCTAGGCATCGCAAACAATTACTGGAGTTAGATTTTTATGTTTGTCTGAAAATGTGGTGAATTTTGAAAGCATTCTCCTCAACCGGTTTTATCACTTTTCCCATCCCATTTTATCCTCAACACGATTCACTTAGTGTGTGGATGAAACGGCCAATCTGATCTCCGCATTGGATAGCATGCAAAAGTCCCGAATGGATTTGCTCACAATTGGTCGTGCCACATGGCCATCGCGAAGCACGCGTGTGGACATTGAAGCCGGATTTCTCTATTTTCCGAGCACGGATGAAGGTAAGCTGATCGAGCAAATGATTGCAATCAGTCAATTCGACTGATGGAAGATATAAGCTACCCTGGTTGGTCGTTTAAGGGGTGTGCCGAGACGAGAAATGCGGTGGACACCGGGCATAGCCACAATCTGGATATTAATTTGTAAGCAGTGGTGTTTAGTTAGCTGCGTTCAAATTCAAATTTTTATTATGGGATATAACTTACGAAGACTTCGCTTTTACAAATCTCATAGGGTGTTTACACTTTGGTTCGGATGA